CAATTATGTCCACAGCAAGACCCACTATTCTTCTGTTCTCTGCAATCCTCTACCTGGACCCGCCATCCTCGTGACTGAAAAATCAAATTGCCCCTTTCCCGCACATTGTGTACAAACGTTTTATTGATTGAACTTTGCAAGTTACATTTTCCACATACAGCGCTTCCGATACGGGTGACTCCGCCCACTTCCATCATTCCTACCCGCGGTTTAATATTTGTAAAGAGGGTAGAGCCCTCAGCTAAATGATCAGCCCTGACCAGCCGCTCACAGCACAGATTGTAACTTTTACTTTCACTTCTGGGGAATCCTATCACCGGGAATGAATGTGTGAGGGAAGGATATGAAGCTCTTATCAGATCCGGTCTCTTCCGGGAGTCTTACATTGCAATTATGAAAAGTCTCCGGAACACACATCGGGGTGCATTCAATAAAACATGTACAACACTTTTCTGGAGGTGTGGCCCTTTAAAACAATCCGTGCCTAATTGATAAGGATTGGGAAATGTCCCACCATCGGAGTCGCCAAGATATAGATGATTCCAAGAGAAGACTTGACCCATCAGACTTCACCTATAAATGAAATATCACTGATCCCGGGATGAAGCCCTTTATAAATGACTTTATCCTCCAGTTGTTCTATGGAATGAGCAGTTCGACCTGCTAAATTCCATCATATGAGCAGGAACGTCTCTCTGACGTCGAATTAGACTTCTTTTCATTTGTAAAAATACATTTGAACATGACAAAGGTGGTTCACCAGTGTGGGTTCTCTGCTGTATAACAAGAATTATTTTCAGAATTAAACATTTCCCCACTCTCAACATGACGAAGGACGCTCACCAGTGTGAATTCTCTGGTGTTTGTTACAGTCTCCTTTCTGAGTAAATGATTTCCCGCACTCTGAACATGAATAAGGACGCTCACCTGTGTGAATTCTCTGGTGTGTAACAAAACCTTGTCTATGAGTGAAAGATTTCCCGCACTCTGAACATAAATAAGGACGCTCACCTGTGTGAATTCTCTGGTGTGCAACAAAAGCTTGTCTATAAATGAACGATTTCCCGCACTCTGAACATGAATAAGGACGCTTACCCGTGTGAATTCTCTTGTGTGTAACAAAAGCTTGATTATGAGTGAAACGTTTCCCACACTCAGAACATGAAAAAGGACGCTCTCCCGTGTGAATTCTCTTGTGTGCAGTAAGGTAGGGTTTCCGAATGAAATCTTTCCCGCACTCTGAACATGAGTAAGGACGCACACCTGTGTGAATTTTCTGGTGTAGAATAAGATTGGCTTTTAGTGTAAAACTTTTCCCACACTCTGAACATGAACAAGGATCCTCATGAATTCTCTGGTGGTTACGAAAGTCGTTTTTCTTGTTAAAAGTTTTCCCGCATTCTAAACATGTCAAAGTTACACTGGTATGAGATCGGAGATGGACACAAAGATCAGCTTTTGTCTTGAAGGATTTCCCGCACCCCAATCCCGGTGTCCTTCTAGATACTCCCACTCCTCCATGGAGAGATAGACAGAGACATCCTGACACCTTATAGGAACCTGACACACACAATGATACAGTCACCACCCAGACACGTCCCTTGTCTGTCCCGGAATCCCAAACTCCAACACTAATTGCTGGCTGACACGTTACAATATTCTAATACTATAAACCATAACAGAAA